TCGCCTCCAGCAGCTGCTCGCACTGGTCGATGTCCGGCGAGAGGTCCTCAATGGCGTTTTGAAACTCCGTGAGGTCCCCAAACACCCCACGTGTGTTGCCGTCATCGCGAAGTTTTGTCTTGAGCGCGTTATTAATGAAAAGTAACTCACGGGATTCAAACACAACATTCTTCAGCTCGCTCTCACACTCCTCAATAAAGCGTCGTTGCTTTGGGGAAATAAAGGCCTGAACCTTAAGCTGCTGCAAGGAGGATATGAGGCTGACAAGCTCGGGGAGAGTAGGGTGCTGCTCCATATTTTTCCCGGCGACAATAAGCCGCTTCTCACTCATGTGTAGATTGCAGTGCTGAATGATGGTCTTGCTGCACCAGTAGCTGCCGGACTCCACGGCAACGCTCTGCTGCAGCTCCGACAACAGCTGCTCGCACGACTCAAACTGGAGATCCAACTGAGCAATCGTCGCGTCCAGCCACTGGTGGAACTTCTGCTGAAACGACTCATCGGAGACAACCCCCTCCAGCTTGTCCTCCTCCTGTACATAGATGCGCTTGTTGCGCTGAAAAAGCGTGGCTGCCGCGGCTGTCATTGTCCCTCTCGCTCTTTTTCTCTCTTTTCCACCCCCCCTTTTTTTTTTTGCTTTTCAATTCTCAGCCTCCGCCTCCACCTTCCTCCCAATGCCTCGATGATGTTCCCTGAAGACAAAAAATGACGTCTGACACACAAAAAGGATTTTTAACAGGAAATTACGACAAGACACACACACACACACAAACAGACAAACAAAAGACGGTGGAAGCTCTTTTTTCCGTCCTTGCTGGCTATTCAATAAACATCACACATTGTGGGAGAGAATTTGAAAGAAAAAGAAAAAAAAAAAGAAGAAAAAGAGGCAAATAAAACCGCACATAAATAAAAACAAAAGAAATGGAAACAAACAATATGTCTGTCTTCACAACCACCACCACCACCACCACCACCTCCTCCTCCTCCTTCTAAAAAGTTTTTCCTCACGTTCTTAACGACATTTTGATGAGAATACACACGCATACACACACGGGGAGAAAGAGAAAAAAAAGAACTTTTTTTCGGTAATACAATTGTGCAAAATGCCAGGCTATTTTGACGGAAGATACTGTCGTAGAAACGAGTCCTTCCACTTGGCATACTCCAACAGCTCCTCTTCACCCGCCAAATCATCCAGACGGTCACCGTCATCATCATCGCCGTCCTTTTCCTTCTCATATGTTTGAAAAAAGTTGGTTTGTGTGTTATGTGAAATGTTGTCCGCATCTGCTGATGAATACATACATGCATTGATGACACGAGTGGTGGTATCGCTGGATTTAGAGTCAACGCGGCCCACAGAAAACAGAGAAGAGAAATTAATGGGATGCGTCGCAGTGTGCTGAGAGTCCATAACGCCATCCATGTAAGCTGGGGGCGCAGTATTCATCATAGAAGCATCCTGACGACTAGAGTAATCATCATCATCATCATCTCCAATAATAATATTACTATTATTATTATTATTATTATTCCCAATGTTCTGAGAATCATGTCCACTTGGAAGCACCCCAAACGAGACGTGCTGCTCCTCTGCAAGATTGGGTTTCAATCGCAACTTCTTGTCTCGCCGTAGCGTTTCTTCCAACTCCCGCAAATGACATTTTAACGCGCCCTCGCGTTTCTTCAGGATCCGAACAGATGACATAACAGAGTCATACATTGTTTTGGCGTTCCCCAGCAACAGACGGCCGGGCCCACCTGCAGTCCTATCGGCATCGGCATTCGTCGGTACTTCATCGTCCAGTAAAAGTAGCAACACATCGCCCAGCACCCGTTCAATCAACGCCCCGTCATTCCCCACCGTCCGCCACGGGACCTTCCCATCATACTGTTGCGATGGGGACAACGGCGCCGTCCTCTCCAAAGATGTTGGGCTCGGCGAATGTGACAAACTCCTGCAAGTATTTCTCGTGCGTTCAACGGCGGAGTGTGACGTGTGACGCTTCTTCCCATTGCCGCGCAACTCCCGCAATGTAGAGTGCCTCCCACAGCTGCACTGCTCCCGCTGCCCCTGTTGTTTCTGGCGTCTTGGTTGCAGGTGCCCTCCATGGACACAATATAACGACGGCGATGAAAGTGATGATGTTGATAACAACGGCGTTGTATGGGTGTGTCCGTTCTTCGCGGTCCCCGTTCTGCGGTGCCTAGAAGCGGCCCTCCCACGTTCCTCCTGCGTATCCATCAGTTGTCGCTGAAGATGGGAAATGCATTTCTCCTGCTGACGCCGCTGCTTTTGCAGGAGACGGACAGTCGCACGCAGTGTTTCCGCGTCAGCCGCGACAGCGTCAAGCTGCGCAACGGCGCGTTGCAGAAGATGACGATAGAGCCGCACGGGATTCCGCGAAATGCGCTCCAACTGCGCAAACAGGGCCTCCGCATGATGAGTGCCATTATTCTCTAGCATCCCCCCGTATCTATGTGTTTGTGTGTGTGCGTGTGTAGGCTGCTGAGACGGTGCGCCCTTCTTTACTCCCTCTCCCTCTCTCTCTCCTTAACGGTGTCGCCACCGTCCCCAAGCACTCCATCGTTGCGTCAACCCAGTGAGTTTCAAAATAAGCCAAGGAAAAAAAAAAGGGATCATGTGTGTGTGTGTGTCTGTGTTTGGCACTCTACCCCTCCCCACTTCATGCATTTATTAAAAGTATTCATCCTCCCCGATGTCACATGCATTTTTTGTCATTTTTGTTTTTGTTTTTGCTGTGGGATTATTCCCCTCGCCGTACAGCATCTTTCTTCTTTCGCATGGGCGCACTTATGGTGGCTGGCATGCGGGCCATCAAATTCATTCCAGAAGACATGAGGGAAAAAGGCATTTCCTCATCCCGGTTTTTTCATCGTTGACCTTCTCAATCGTTGTGCCAGAGACCCACCACAAAGGACTCTGGTGCGATTCTTCAAAGGAACAAAAGTCAACCATTCTGCAGTGCAGTGTTTCGGATCTAGGCCTGTACGGCACCGTGATGTGGTCGCTGCCGTGCTGCCAACGCATAGTGAAGTACCCCACAATGCCAGCGGCATTCCTGCAGGGCCAAAGCGCCTGACCCGGAGACCGCGACTGTGGAAAATACATGCGGAAGTTGGCAACAATTGTGTCACGGTCAATTGCCAGGCCTCTCGGACAGGGGAACCACAGTCAGTCATCTCCAAACCACCCCGGTCGTCTGAGCGGAGTGGGTGAGACACGATCCGGGGGTCCTTCAGGACAAAGCAAAGAGCCCAACTGGAGACCGCTCCCCTGGCAATACCGCCGGATGCCTCAGTGTGGTGCCAGTGTCAATTGCTCCGTATTGTCGGGGAAGCCAGGAGCCAGCAATGATTCCCTCACGGGGTCGTGGTTGTTGGCGCAGGGCTGACGGCATCGACCAGCCGCGTCTTGCTGGGCACGGCACAGCACCATGAGGTCTGGGGACACGCCTTACAGGGCACGTGCGGGTCACCAACCTTATTTTTAAAAATACAAGGAAAAAGAAGACAAAATAAAATAAGTGAATAATCTTCCGGGCAGCTGGCCGGATCCTGAAAATCTATGGAAACCAAACAAGTTAGGGAAAAAAGGTTCGTTAGTTAATTGCTTCAATGCTTTCTTTTCATTCAATATAAAGAATTCTGTGGACCATTAGCATGGTCCTTCGTTCTCAGTTAGGATCTGAAGTATTTATTACTTACGAAGTGGCAGACTTTGGGGTCCTCCAACCACAAGACCCCGCCGCGTGGTGGGAATCAAAAGGGTTAGGGTGGGATAGCAAAATAAAATTAAAAATATTATCCGGCCTCTATCCGCTCCCTGCCCCTACAAAGTCGCGTTCTTCCCAAAAGATTCATACGGTAGAAAGTATCATAAAGAATGCCTTCATTTATCAGGGTGTACATACATTAATTAAGTTAGCCAGCTCTCCCACGATCATTCTTTTCGCAAGCTCCTAGAAAAAGAATAGTTAAGGAAATCAACAGGTATAGGAATAAATTTTAAGATACACATGCATATATATATATATATATATAGATATATATAAAATTTTTTGTCCACGCTTTCATTTCCTTTCTTCAGTCTGGCTTAATGGCGTATTCCCGATGTGTACGCAACCGTCACCCCTGTATTTTGCCTTGGGGTTAATTATTCAGTGGTATTTTATCCATAACACTATCATTAGTGTTTTTCTCCGTTGGAGGAGGGGGAGGAAACTCTCCGTCACTTTTTTTCGGATCTGTATTTTTTTGGGATACATGAAAGAAGCATTTACGCACATGTACAAGGGATACGTAGAGGTACGTGCGACGATATGGATACCAGAGATGGAGACCGAATCACTCGTCTTTCTCCTTTTGCGAGGATGCACAAAATCTCATTTATAGTTTCTAAAACATAACGTATTAATTATGGAACCCCTCAAAGAACCGTGTTTCTCTTCGCCAATTTGCTGGTGAATCGGCTTGGTGAGAGGGGCGTCTGGTACTTTTCCCCCACCTTTCATTCTCACGTTTTCAAGCCACCACCGACGGCCGCGGCTTCCGCCTTGTCGAGATCTTCGTGGGTCAGTGGACGTCGCTGGGCGCCCTGATACACTCGAAGGGCGCTGAATGGTGACTCGAGTCCCGTAATGATTGTCTTGTCCTCGCGGACACCAGTGCCGCAGTAGACATCGCCAATCACCCAGCCGCCGAGTATGGCGTAGTAGCCATCCCTCTCGGGCAGGCGAAAAAGCTCTTGGTAAACCATGTCGCGGTCCGAAAAATCTCCATCCGATTTCGCGGCAATGTCACCAGATGCCTCTGTGACGGTGACATTTCGACCGACACGACCAACGATGGGCTTCCTCACGTAACCGGTGCGCTGCAGCTCAACCGTGAGTTCATAGCTGGCCCGCAGCAACGCTGGATGGTCTGGGTGCTTGTTGTAAATAATGGGAAGGATAGCCTTGTTGCTGGGAATAATTTTCCACATGGGCTCAAACACACGCAAGTCCCAGTTCGGCCCAAGAAGAATGTCACAAAGCCGAACCTCATCCTTTGGCGTTGGCCGCCAATCATTCCCGCGCTGCACCCGGGCCTTCTGATGATCCGCGATGGCAGTCTCCCACATCCATGTCTTCCACACCGTTGTGACGGCGACGCCATCGGAGTCCACAACGACGCCATTCTCATCAAAATGAAATTCATCGAAAAGAACGCACAGTTTTGTCTCCAATCCTGCCGCAGAAGCGTGCTGCATAACATACAAGGCGGTGTAATGCTCCTCATCATCATTGTCGATGAGGAAGTGTACACGTCCGGTGACTTCTGCCATTTCCCATGCCAATTGCAGTCGTGAGGAAACCAAACTCCCAGAACTGTACGTCGTCCCGTCATCGAGACCAACCGATCTCGCCCACTTTTGTTGAATAACGCCGCACTCCAGCAGTGTTGAGGCGCTATCAGCATTGTACTCAAAGCACTTAAATTGCTGCGTATCCTCATCAAAGGCAAAATCAAAGCGTCCCGTGATGGCATGCGGTTGTGTCTCCCATGAATGTCGAAGACGCGGCCAGTACTCCTCTGGAATACAAAAAAGCCTTAGCAGTTCGTCACTTCCAAGAACGAACTTGGTGGCCTCCAAAAACATTTGATGAAGTTGATTGCCGTATTTGGCGCAGTCCAAATAAAGTTCCCGGTTCATCTGATAGTAACTGGCTTTTTCCAATTTCGGATTCTTCACATCGATACCACAGACATCCGCGAAGTACGCCTCGGCTTCATTCGTGAGATCCAGCCAATCCTTTTCCCGCGAAGTTGGTGTAAATGTCAGACGACGCAGCGTTGGCAGTTCCCCCCGTTTGAAGTGAAGCGACTCGTGTAGAACCAGCGGTTCATTCGGGTTGCGATCGGGTGTATCCGGGAACGTCACCCACCCGAGAGGCTTCAGCACTTCATCCTCCAACGGATCCAAAATCGTCCAGACGCCCTTCTCGTGAATCAGCGGCAGCTCCGCCGCATAATTAGCATCCCACTTGTGAAACCGATGGTTTTGATCGGCAATGCGCACCCACTTGTCCCCAACCTCCGTAATGGCAGCGACATGGCCCACTGGGCTATAATCGTCGGAAGGGTAAATAAGAAGCGAGTCGACCACGGGTTTCGCCGCGGTACCATTACGAATCGCCACGCAACGAACAGGTTTTCCCGTGCGCGCATCCGAAACCTCCTTTAAATTAAAAATGTGCACAGCCCAGTCAACATCGGGAAGAACCAAAGACTTACGCTCAAACAACCATCGGCGCGCAAACTCCACGCACTGGTACTTGAACCCACAAAACAAATTTCCATCAATGCTTCGCTCCCCAGAAAAGTACGATTCATGCTTGTTACTGTACGCCGGAATACCGCCAGGGGCATAGCCTTGCACGCAGCCAAATGGTACCGCCAAAGACTGTAGAGTCGGCATTTGTTGTCTTCTTCTTTTATAGGTTTGTCTTGTATTAAAATTTTTATCTCTCCTTCTTCTTCCTTTTCTTTTTCCCCCTCTTTTTTTTTTTTTTTTTTTTTTTTTTTTTTGCTATAAAAAAATAAAAAAAACAATAAAAAAAAAAGAATTTTATTTTATTTTTATCGTAAAAATTATAATTCATTTCCGTTTTCACTTCCAAAATGGCAAAAATGTCACAATTTCTCCCTGCCAAACTGAGTGCTTTTTTGTTTTCTTTATTATTTCCCCCTTTCGGTTACTTTTTTGTTGTTTCACCTCGCTTTTTGTTGTTGTTGTTTCTTTTCGTTCGCCGCTTCCACTTACGACTTTCCTTGATGCTTCCTAAAAATAATCCTCTTCCCTCCATTGCTGATAAAAACTCTGGCCGACTGGTGCTCGGCGCTCGTGTTTGCCGACAGAACAAGAACAACAACAACAAAGAAGAGCGCCAGAGAAGCCACGCACAAACACACAAAAAATATAATAGTAATAATAATAAATAAACAAGAAATCAACGAGGGTAACAGGCAAGGCCATAACTCGGCAGCAAAAAGGCAGAGACGCATTTGCGGTTTTTGTTTGTTTATTTGTTTGATTCACGCGGCAGGCAGGCACGACTCCCCTCACAACTGATTGACGCCTGGACGCAACGAGGCATTCGCCGACGGATTACTGCTGCCGCCGGTTGTGTCATATCCCTCCTGCGCTGCCGTTGCCCGCTCCCCTTCGAGCATCTTCTTCAGCTCCCGCTCACGACCAAAGACGCGAATATTTGTGAGTACCTCCCGCGGTGTGATGGCAGTCCCGTCCAACGCACGTTGCGTCCCACGCATCAAACTACGTCCCTCCGTCTCAATGGCCTCAACTAACTCGCGGCGTTTGCCGATCCAACCGTCCGCCTCCAGCAGTGTTCTTGGAGGAGGCAGGCCAGGGTACAGCGCGGTGCGTCCAGGGTTGATCGTCGACTCCGGCGTCTCCCATGCGTCCTCCAGAAACACACGTTCAAAGTTTTCAAGCAACGCTGGCGGAACGTACACCTCGACGCGAAAGAGTGGATTTAAAATGAGTGCCTCCTTTGCCTCATTGCTGATGCGGTGAAACCCCTTGATGAGGGCTTGCTGGCTGAGTTTGCCAATTTCATGACGCAAGTGTGCCCCACATGTGTCACACGAGAGAGCGGGGACGCGGACAACGTCTGCCGGTCCGTCCGGGAGTTCCACCGCCTCGTAAAGTACATTGCGATAACCACAAATCAACTCTACCTGCGCCTCTTCGCGTCTAAATCGCTCCAATTCCAGAAACGGATCAATACATAGCGCCACTGCATACTCGGCGGTGCCATGACTCGCGCTCCTTTTGGTAAATGTTCCACGTAACAGTGAGGTGTCACCGTTTTGCCGCAGTTGCCGTTGGTTGCCTGGCAACAGTACGCGTCTACCCTCACGGAGAAGAAACGGTGGCGTCCCATACCTTTTTTCTTGAGAGTCTTCTTCAGAGCCATCTGACCACCCGTCGTAGTACGCCGGATGCGCCGCTGGGTAAGGCACCGGAGCATCCACATCGCCCAGTGAAAGCAGCTCGACCACGAGCACACGCCACTGCCTCGTCGTAGGCCCTGATGCGTTGCTGCGGGCAGACCCTGATGTCGTTGTCGGCAGTGCGTACAAGTCTCCCATCTCGAGAAGTGGCAGCACCCTCACACGACGCTCAAATGCTAACGATAAATCGTCACGGCCCCGAGGTTTGTTAAATGTCGTGCTGGCACGTCGCAGCCGCCGCACACGTGACTCGTCCAAACCGGCGTAAAAAAAGCAGCGAGGCACCGTGACGGCATGGCAGCGCAGTGAACTTTTCCTAGCGCCTAACCGGCTCAGCATCGGCAGCAAGTTGCGCTTCCTGAGAAGTGGGAAGGGGGTAGAAAAGGAGGGGGAAGAGAAGGAATAGGAGGAAGAGGATAGGGCGGCGCTATCAACAACATCAATGACAACAGCAGGGAGAACGCAGAAGCAAACAAACGTATGCGAAAAATAAAGGCAACAAAAAAGAAAAACAGCAGGCACTGTTTTCTGTCGTCTTCGTGACAAACAGAAAATGAGGGGTATGCAAAGCAAAACAATAAAAGAAAAAAGATCTAATCTCCCACGCATACACAAACGCAGTAGACGCCCTTTTCTGTTTCTGCTTTTTGTCTTGTTGTTTGCCCGTTCCCCTCTCTCTCTCTCCTCCCTTTCCCTTCTCTCCTTCTGTGTGTTTTTGTGTGCAAATGTCTACTCCCCGCTCACCCCCTCATTGACGCTTCTTCCCCGTCCTCTCCCATCCTGTACGCCTTTCCCTCAGATCTCATCAACTTTGACCTGCCCACTTTGAAAGGAAATTGAGAGCGCCCTGAGGCATCCCCTGTTTTGTTGCGGGCCTCTGCGACGCCAATTCCTCAGGAACAAGCTCGTGCGTCAGCTGCAGCGTTGGGGTAGGAATGAGAGATGCAGCGGCTTGTTTGCCCCTTTTGCCTCGCGTCGGTTTGGGAGCAGGCGCCGCGGCCCCACTCGCCGCCTTTCTTCGGACTCCTTTTTTTACAGAAGGCTGGACGGAATGTGGTTTGTCCACAACTTCGTCATCGTCGATCACCTCCACCTCATCTCGATGACGCTTGCCACCGCCGTTTCGAGAAGCAGCCACAGCATGAAGTGCGGGACCAGCTGTCGTCTCCTGATCCTGTTTCACCGCGCTGGCGATCAGTGCGCTTAACGTCCCACGCTCCAGCCCCGTCTCTGGAAGCGCATCATCCTCCTCCTCTTCGCAAACTCCTTGTACCGTGCAGTCTGCGGCGTTAAGTGTGAGGGAGGCGGAGGCCGCTGGGGCTCCAAGCGGCACCCCGCCCTCGTCAAATGCGTCAACGATCATAAAGTCCGTACGTCCAAAGCCCGTCTGAGCCCTGTCTGCTTTTCCATGAGATTCCTGCAGTTGCCCTTTTTGTCCTTGCTCCGACGCATCAGCCGCACGTGTGGCCTCCGCGTAACGTTTGTTCATATCCTGTTTGTATCGAATCACCTCCGTGTAGATGCTGTCAGGCATCAAAATACCCTCTGCATCCCCCCTCCCCATGGCTTTCCAGACAGACTTCTGACACTTGTTCAGGAGCTCATTGATTCGCTCGTCAATGGCGTCACGTTCACCCTTCTCAGCAAAGGCGTAAACCGCGGCCGACACCTCCGGCTCGGAAAGTAACGAACAGGCATCCCGCGCATTCGCGTTAAACACCTCCGCAACCTTTGTGCGGATATCAGAGGTGTTAACCAACGGCACAGGTACAACCATCGTCCCATCTCCCCCTGGTGCTGAAGGCAGTCTACGAATAACAGGTTTTGGCTTTAAAGGCCGCAGTAAGTCACCAGGATTCACCACAACGTCCATGTACTGTTGTCCAAAGCGATTAATATTTGGTTGGGGAAAGTTCGTAGACTCCGGATCGGTAAAGTCCACAGAAAGCCGCATAAGTGGGAACTTAATGCTTGGGTGAAACGCGAGTACATCATCTGGGATACGGCTTATCTGCTCCTCTGCCTCTTCTATCATCTCCTCAATAACGCGGCGGAGGAAATCCTCCACGGCGTCCAACGTGCGTCCAGTGGGATTTTCTCGCCACAACTCCACTGTACGTCGTACCACTGGACGGACACTACGCAGTGGAAATGGCGTCAAGCGGTACGATCCTTCACGCACCTCCAACACACCGTACTGTTTTGGGTTACACTCCTGCCCGGAGAGCGACGTGAGAATAGTGCTACCAGGCTGAATGACATCAAATCCCTCAGAAGGTGTGGGAACCATTTGTTGCTCGTGCTCGTTGCCCCAGATAACAAGGTCCAGGCCAAATCCAGCCAACATGTTCTCAAAAATGCCGTTCTTCTCACCCGACCCACCACGAACCCCGCGGTTTTGGTGCAGCAAAAGAATTTTAAACCAAAGGCGTCCTTTTACCGGCTTGGGGTGCACAAAACGAAGTTTCTTCATACGAAAGCAGCGATGAAGCCGTTCATCGCGAACATTCCCAAGTCCATACAAGGCGACGTAGGTGTGACCCTTCTTGAGCAAAATAGGTTCCACAACAATGTCGTCCAATGAGAATACCTGTCCAAAGTAGTTCACAAGACCATTTGCTGCCAAAATATCGATGGATGACGTTCCTCCAACGGGGTCGTCATGGTTCCCATGAATCATAAAAATCGGTATGGCGACATTGATGTTGGGATCCTGAAAATTAGCCAGTGGAACGGGGTGCGTTGGGAAGTTACGCTTGGGATCACTCAGCAGTGAAAATGCAATCGGTTTGTCCCCAAGCACATATGTCCGCAGCAGGGATGTGGTGCGAGCGAAGCAGCCAAGACTGGGCTTATTGTCATGAAAGAGGTCCCCACCGAGAAGAATGGCATCAACGTCGTGTTCAACGCGGGCGGCACGAAGACACTCCTCAAAGGTGGTGAAGCTGTCGTTTCCCCGGCGTGAATCCCGCTCTTGGAATCCAAGATGATTGTCTGTCGTGATGAGAAACTTGAACGTCGATGATGACGACGCGGCATTCCCCGCACTTGCCATATGGCCTGTTAGCAAATTCCCCACAAACCCACACACCCAAAAAAAACAAAAAAAAAAAATAATAATTAAATGCGGGCTATTTCTCCTTGAAGAAAAACACAAGGCCTATCGATAAATATAATTATACCCTTTCTCTGCGTGTTTGTGTGTGTGAGGACTCCACCCCCGTTGACCAGCCCGCAGATCACACCCCTCCTTCCTGCAGTCAGATCAAAAAAAAAAAAAAATGAAAAAAAAAAGTCATGCGGGCACATGTCCTTTAAAAAAGTCGCCGAGACAGCATCCAAATAAAAATAAATTCCCTCCGTGGGACCATCAAAAGGATAAAAAAAGAAAGTTGGTGGATGTATGCCTGTTTGCTTGTAATGATGCCCCTGAGGTCTGCATGGTGCTCCCAATTCCAGTCTCTCTCACCTTCTCTCTCCCTCCCTGCACGTGTGCACGAATGGTGGCCAGTCATTCGCAAGGAATAAAACCCGCAATAAATCTCTTCTCTCCACGCACTGGTCACCAAAAGTCACGTTTATTTCTTATCTTTTCCTTTGGATCTTTTTGTTTGTTTGTTTCGTTTTTTCTCCACTACCGCCACCACAGACGCATCCCTCTTCTCATCCCACAGATACAAAAAAAAAAGAAAAAAAAGAGAGGGATGACACTACATTGCAACGCCGTACACCACACTGAGGACAATATGCTTAGAGCTGTACCCACTTCGGCAGTGGTGTCTTCGTCTGATAATCCCTGACGGAGTCCTTCACCGCCTTCACCTTGCCGGTCTTCTTGTCCGTCTCCCACATGTGCGCGGGAAGCAAACCAACGGTGTTGCGATGCATCGCCACCTCCGGGCGGTTGAACTGTGGCATGGGATGATGAGCACGCACCTCCCAATACGTCCGAATCTTCTGCGCCTGCTTCCACGGTGTGACACCGTCAACAAACTGGAATAAATCCCTCACCTCATTGTCAAAATGACGGATGTATCCATGCGGCCGCGCCTTATACCGCCAGTAACGATTCAGTGAAAAGAAGTAGCTCGTGCCAATATTGTCCTGTCGGATTTGCTCCGCAATGAGTGGTTGATCGGCCTCCTGCACGGCAATCCATTCCCACGGAGTGTAGCGGTGCATGTAACCAAGTCGAATATAATCCCGGCGATGAGAAATACTCAGCGGACGGAAGTTATCCGCTCTGGAAACGTCAAACCGTGTCCACTGATCAATCTCCGTGATCTGCTTCGTGGTGCGATACTTGCCGGCAGCCACCTCGGAGGTGCGTGCCGCCTCATACTTGTCCAAAAAATGCTCCCCCTTCGATGTCTTTTCGTTAAAAGGATCTGAGACATCAATGTACCGCCGTAGACTTGCCGGACTGAACCGCCGTGACTCGTCGCCAACGGTGCGCTCGGGCCCATGATAGCGTCTTTGCCAAATCATGATATTCGCTAACGGCACCTCCTCCACGGCACCATCGGACTGAAATGCAACGCGCACCAGCCGCGGTTCAGGGTTAAAGAATGGCTGTCGATCGTACGCAACAATTACCGCACGTTGTGGGGTACTAACAATACGTGATCCATTTGCATTCATGCCAACATGACGCCGCGCCCGAACGGGTAATCCTACCCGCAAACCATCTGCGTGCGTCGCAGGCGACCAGCCTTCCTCGCCCGACGCGGTTTGTTCCTCCCAAATCACATCCTGCGTTTCAATGTAGTTCCCGCGATTGTATGCATAATCACCAATACCGTAGTTAAGTGCGTGATTGACGTTCCGTGGCAATAACTCCAGTTCATACCGTCCAAATGCCTCATCCGTCATATCCAACACCTCTCCTGACTCCAGCCGAACAGAAAGAGGCACCACAAAACGTTCTGAATCGGGTCTTAGTTTGTAAGCCTGTCCCTCCACCATGATGATGTGGCTGGTGTTTCCCTTGGCCGCAGCCAACTCCCTTTCAAACGCCTTCGCTGAGACTGTCAGGACGGCGGCGGTATCAGCGTGTTCAAGATCCACCACTGAGACCCCGTAGCCTTGTGCCACGACGTGGCCATATTGTTGCCGATCCGGTATCCAGCGACGCCGTCGCATGGCAGTGGCCCATTCACCAAGCTGCTTTGATGTTTGTTCCTTCACGTATTGCTCATACATTGCCCGCTCCTCCGCCGTAAAGTGGCGAAGAACCTCCGGTGGCTGCATGTACTGCACGACAGGCTCCGGTGCCTTCCCACTCACATTGCCCATAAACGCCCGACTAATACGGTTTTGAAATCCCTCCATAAGGAGAAGTCGGTTAAAATAACGACTACTCAACACGTTCTCTCGAGTGTCTGCCGTGCCCATCTCATCGGCAAGAGGAAACAGGTGTAAGTTGACAGAGGCGGAGGCCCCTACAACCGCCTCCACAACGGTGGGGGAAGGAAGCATGTATACGCCAAACCAACTGCGTAAAGTTTCCCCGCTTACTTGCATCTCGTCATCGTTTGTGTGCAACTCTCTTTCATCAAACGGTGTGCGTTCGCAAATTTCATCTAACTTCTCACGTCGTGCATCCCGCTCTTGCGCCGTTTCATTCGCAACAGGCTCTAAGCCGTGGAGAAGGGCAATTTGGCGTCGCTGTTGGTGGTGCGCGCGATATCGAGTAAAGAGTTCCCATTCAAGAAACTCCGGCCGCTGCTTCATGAGTGAAAATCCCTCCACATCGCGGTACATGCGGTTCAGCCGAAAATCACGAAAGCCAGGAAATGGCTTGAAGTAGTCCAGCGGCCGCTCCCCACGGGCATTGCGGTGGCGAAACACAAACTCATCAATGGTTTGCTGAATAGGAACACCAAAGTGCATCACACTGCGTTCTGTAAGATCCTGCTCGCCCTTTGAAAGACGATCCTCACGACGCGCAATGTCAAACTTATTATTAAGAAGATGCGCGACGCCATGCGTGGTGTCTTGTCGTATATATGGGTTCCAGTGCTCATCCGTCTGTGTCTTACGGTAGGCGTCAGAACGGAAAAACATGGCATCCATAATGCGTTCATCGTTTACATGCTTCTTTAGGGTGCGCTTGTCTGGTCCCCCGTCTTGCACCAAAGCACCTTGTCGACCAAGACCAAATCGCTGCGCTCGTTCTTGTTCACGCTGCCACTCCGATGCCTCTCGACTAGTACGAATGGTGTCCACAACCTCCTGCGTTAGTTCCTCACCCGTGGTGGGATGATCACGGACGGTATTTCTCGCAAAGGCCTTCAGAGAGATGGCCTCAAAAGATGGCACGGTTGCCGTCGGATCTCGCAGGGTTCGCTGTGCCTCTTCCATAGTTGAGCTGGCTGTGTTAGGAGGCAACGCCTGGGCGCCATACGGAGTTCCCTTTTGTTGTGCGAGAAACCGATCCATATCGTAGCCTTGAAAGGGAATGCGGGTAGCACGCTGCAGGACGGTAAAGTCATACTTCTCCTTTTCTCGTAAACCATGAACAATGCGAAGATTTTCCTCGATCCAATCGTTGTGTACCGTTTCGCTACGCATTCGATAGGTGTGTGCAAGTTCCTCGCGCCCCATGCCATCGGAAGTGGCGAGAGGTGACTGCTGATCCGCAATTTGAAACCGGTCCACCACCGCTTGTTGACGGAGTGCACTTCCGCTGGTGCTCGTGCTGTGGTGCACCTGAGTCGAGGGGAGAAGAGATTGATTTTCCACCAAGATGTCGGCCACGTGGTGTTCTGCTGCGTAACGCCGTGCTAACTCATCACGCTCCGTGGCACTTTCCATCCCCCGTAGCAAAGCCCGCTGCTCTTGAAATGCCGCTTCCATTCGTGAAACGTCGTGGTCAAGCCAACTGCGACGATGTGTGGCCTCAGCGTACTCCATCGGACTCTGTGCGTGATGATACGATATGGCGCCGCCCTCAGCAAAATTGCGCGGTGCATACTGTGGACTGTAACCACGGGCAGGGTCACGGTAGTAGTCCTTGTGTGCCTGTCCACCCAATGGGTCGGTCTCACCAAAGAGCTCCCGTTGCATTTGCGTCGCCCAGTCCGTCGAATTCAACGAAGACGATGTGTGCCCCCCCTCCGCGTGACTCGCCTGATGGGGCGTAGTGAAGCTGGAGGATCGCGCGTCCCTAATAAAAGTGTGCAGGCCGCCTTTTTGCCGCTGCACCGAGAAGAGCGTCACAGAAACCGAGGCCGCTTTTGTTGGGCGGGAGACAAAACAGAGCCGCCGTCGAATCATCGCGTTTTTTATTTTCTTTTTCTCCTCTTCTCCCGTTTAATTTTTATCCTCTTTTTTTCCCCCTTTTTTTCGTTTCTGCTGCTGCCTCGGCCCGCCCCTCGTCCCACGACGACCCCGAGAATCCCCGCACCGACAACCCGAGCCCTAAACCCGCACGCAGGAAGAAACTCCACAAAAAAAAAAAAAAGGGAATGTGTGAATATGTAACCAAAAAAAAAAAAAAAAGTAATAATAATAAATAAATAAAAATCAAGTCGCACAATCACAACGGCTTCTCACTTGTACCGCCGTTCCTCCGCAGCATGCATGTCCCCAGTCACCCACATGCGTCTTTGGGTCTTGCTCCTTTCCCCTGTTTCCTCCTCGTGTTGTTTCCATTGCCACCGCAACTCTCTGCACGTGTATAATTACGATATATTCCCTCCAAGAAGAATCAAAAGGGAAGAAGCACAAATAAACACACAGAGAAAAAAAAGGGAAGTGAGAAAGACACACACGCATATATTCCTGGCTTAACTCGTTTTATTCTATTATTGTTACAACACACTCGCCGCCTGGCGCACCAATTCTTGTTCTTGCGCAGCGCGTGCCAGCATGAATTGTGCCACCCGCTTCTTTGCATCCCGGCTGCACTTTAGAAATCCTATAAAGTTTGCTCCGCCCAGCACGGCCCCAATGAGAGCCATCGGCAGCCTGGAGGACATCACGTTGAAGAGTGCAAGGAGTAACCACACGCCAAAGTTCCCGCCAGTGGTGATCCAGAAAAGCCACTTGTCAAAGGCGTTGACACGAGTATCCGCGTCAGGGGCACTTTCAAATACCCATTGCGACGATCCGTCCTCTTTCACATCGTTCCACCAGCGCAGACGGACAAGCATGCGTCCGCTCACATTTTTTGTCATCCAAAAATCCGCCGCCAAGAAGAGGATGGTGACAACAAAGATGGTGACGTAGCTGGAGCTAAACAAACTCCCCAAAATAAACGTTAACATTGCCCCCGCCTTAAAGGCAACATGAAAAAAGGCGACAAATGGGTGCACGCCCTTGTATATACGATCATCGCTCTGTTGTCCTGCTTGCTGCAGCAAGACTCCATTCGAATCAAATGCCGGTGGCAACGGCGGTGCGCTTTCACCTGTGACAATATACGGCGCTGGGGTGTACTGGGACGACGGTGGCGGTGGCGGTGGCTGCTGTACGGATGGTTGAGAGGGGGAAAAAGAGTCAAAATCAAACTTGGGCTTGTTTGGCTCCAACATTTAATACTTCCCTTTTCTTTTTTTTTTTTCCTTCTTCCTCACACCGCTTATAAATATTGTCCCGGCGTATATGCGATATTTCAACTTGGCACCTGCGTCCTTCTTCCGCTTGTGGCGCTCAACCCACACACACACACACACACACACACGCAGTAACACCACCACGTGTATATATATATATATATGTCTACCCCTTTTTCTCTTCCCTTTGCCTTTCCCTGCAGCTGAAGTGTTGTGTTCCCTCCTCCCCGCCGCCGCTGCTCCAATCCTCAATAACCCTCAGAGTAGAAGCCAAAAGTCAATAACGACTTCCCTTGCACCGCACAACACATAGAAAAGAAAGAAGAGGAAAAGAAAAAAAAAAGGCAGTGATGAAATCTCCCCCACAGAGTCAAAGGCAAGAAAAACAAAAAAAGAAGAGCTCAAGCCACACAAACGCACAACCGACAGAAAAAGGGAGGGAGAATTAAAGAGAGGGAAGAAGAAGGAACACACACACACACACACACAGACTGCGATGTGGACAGAAAAAATGCCCCCTCACCGCTTTTCCTCCCCCGGTCGTCATAGCGGCTTCCAGAAGCCCAAGCGGAAAAGACAACAAAAACACGCAAGATACAAAAAAGAGAGAGAGACAGAAGAGGAAGAGACGGTGAGTGTGGAGGGAATTAAAGAGACGGCCTTAAAACTTTTTCATGCCGGGGACGTTTTTGGCCGCTGTTCATCATCGCCGTGCCGACAAATTCCGCGTCATCGCCCATCTCCTCCGTCTCTCCATTTTCATCCACAACACGCAACTGCGGCTGGCGCTGCCGCCCCTTCTCGCCATTACATTTTGTCTCCCTCGTCACGCACATACCCTTGCAGCTGTCATTGTTATCCGTTGCACTCACGGGAGCGAATTTCTGTTGACGTGCGGCACGCCACTGACAGTGTCCCGGTCCAAACAAGACAACAGTGTCTTCATCAGCATCCAACGCGTCCAGGGCAGACTGCATTGTCCTGTCGGAGCGCACATCGTAAATAAAAACGGGTCCATCGCAGATGGGGCAGTTCCACGTGCTGCTGCGAAGGGACGACTCCAGGTATGTCACAACGTCAAAGCAGGCCAGGTGGACGCAGTGTTTTCCTTTTCCCGCAACCCGTATTCGCTGGTAACTCAGCGGGCAGCGCAGCGTCACAATCGCCTCGCCATCATTCATGAGGCCCTCCTCCTCGTCATCATCATCCACCACAATCATCGCTCCAAGCGACGCCGATGATGACGTCTTCTTGTTATCACCCCGTCTCTTAGATTCATTGTTATTAAAATTGGCTTTCGTATCCCCACAATCCATTTCCTCCACCCATCCGCTGTCAACATCCACATCGGAGTCGCTCCCGCCTTCACTGCCATCATCTTCCGGAGATGACAAGGAAGAAAAAGAAGAAGGCAAATTTGACCAACTGCACGTTGACTCCGAACGCTGCAGCCTTGCGACAACATCCGTCACTAATGTGCAGATGTCATTCGCCCCGCACCACGCCAACAAGAACGTCGCTGCCCACTTTGCTTTACTTGTGACCACAAGTTTAAGCGGCGCCCCTGTATCAATACAGCCATCCTCTCTTAACCGAAGGTATAATGACAGTGGCAGCCCTGCAAGCGTGCGATGGCTCGCACTACGTGTCGGACAGCGTGGGAACTCATCCGTCACGTACGTTTGATTCACCATCACGGTACATTCATGTGACGTGGCCGGGGGCCATCCAATGGGCCGCGTGGGCTCTCCCAGTTGACACGGAAACAAGACAAGTTCCATGCGTTCAGCTGACATAGACGGTGGGTAAAGGAGCGATTTTGGTGGCAGGGGACCAATACACTGCAGCACCACACTGCTATGCGACCCTGCTAAAAGGTCAAACCGCCGCAGTACTGCATGAATGGGATAAAGCGGTGACTGGATCGAACGGGGTATCAATGCCGGTACAACTGCCATTTCCCGTACGGATCGCCCACAGCCACAGCCCCGTCGCCCGCCTTCTCTTGCCATTGGCAGATGAATACATAAAAACAAGAAAAGAAAAGAAACACGAAAATGGTTGTAAGGGCGCAAAGAAGAAAAATACATAAAAAAAGTAAAAGCAGCCGCTAATAACACCCAACACAAAAAAAAAAAAAAATACGGGATGAGTCAAACAGTAAGAGGGCGGTTCACCCACCGTCACCACGACTTTTGCACGCAGACAACAAATTGCAACAAAAAATGGGGTCATGCTTCCCTCCAATTGTGTGGTCTGGAAAACCGCGGCCATCCCTCCCGTCATTGAAGATAAACCACCCTCATTCTAGCTGCCGTCGCCAATTATCCTCCTCATTGATTGTTTATTTATTCTTCTTTTTCTTTTTCTTTGTTTCGGTTTTGTTTTGTTTATTTGTTGTTACTGTTGTTGCGTGCCTGCTTTTTTTTCCCCCCTCTCTTTCTCGCTTTCTTTCTTTAACACTTCTCCATGCCCGCCCCGTACTCTGTGAAAAAAACATATAGGAAGAAAAAGGCGGTTGTAAATAACCAAATCCGTAGGTGAGTGAGGAAGTGGCAAAAAGAAGATGTTGACATGACACACAGAAACCTCGGCAACTCATAAACGCGTTAGATACACAAATGCCTCCCGCCCTGTCCGCACGTACATTTTTTTTTTTTCGCGTGTGTGCGTGTGTGTGCATCAGAGGGACTTGTACGCATGTGTGCGGAGGTGAGTCTTTTCTCCGTGCGATGAACGTGAAAACGCAGCGGGCCATCGAGCCATTCAAGCAAAAAGGGGTCAAAATGTCAAAAAAAGAAAAAAAAGAAAGAGAAAGAGAAACGCACTCCGCCCCTCTCCCTCCCCTCCTATCGCTCCGGACTAATGTTTTTCCTTCTGTCGCTGCACGAGGTACACCATGCCGCAGTACAACATCTCAAGAGCCTCCTGCTCGCAATTGCGCCCTCGTACACGTCGGCATTGATTCAGCACCCGCATCTCATCTTTACAGACGGGTGCATTTGCCGCCGCCTTAAAAACCGCCGCATGTTTCTTCTCATCCTCCAGGCACCGCCTTGCTACGTCTTGATATGGCTGACACCTCTTTATGCCGCGACGCTGCAGGCTCTGGTTAACCCAACTATTATCCGTTTGTTGCGGCACGTAGTTTTGAATGCATGCGTCAAGGTCGCTTGTCTCACCGGAGCAAAAGCGATCCGTCATCAGCTTCGTTAGAAGAATCTGCAGATTCTCATTCGTAACCTCCGTCATGTTCTCCTGGGAAATAACTCCTCTGACTGAAAATAAGAAGTGGAAAAAGAAAGAGAAGAAATGGTGGCTATCAAAAAGTATCCATCAGAAAAAGGAACCGCCAAAAGAAGGAGAGAAAGACAACAAAAGAAAGGGGAACTTACTCCCCATCCTTCACAACAAAAATGACGCAGCAGACGGTGACTAATGGAGGGCATGCACACATACATACACACACCCCTCTCTCTCACATGAGGTCGTGAAGCCCCTCCGCGGTCATGATGTCGTCAGGAATGGCCCCCATCCCGGCTGTCGACTCCTGCCCCACCTGCTGCTCTCGCTGCTCATTGTCTCGCGACTTCCGCGTGTCGCATGTAATAAGGGCAGCCTCCATTGCATGCGCCAGCTCGCGGGTGACATGACTCCACTCTGGCAATTCCCTCACCCACGCCACCCACGTCACGCATGAGTCATCCCGAAGATGTTGAGGCCTCTGTAGCGCCTCCCTCAGTGGTGAGGCGAGCCAGTGGTCGTGCGAGACGCCAAAATGAACAAGGAAGTGATCAAAGTCCATCACAAGCGAGGTCACGGCGTGCCAATCGCCCTGTTGCTCAAGAGCACGAAAAACCGCGGTGAAAACGCTGGAGGTACCTATGATGAGTTGTCCTTCCTTCTTTTGCAAGCGGCGGAAGACATCCAACGCCTGTCCCCACCGCCCGTCGCGCAGAAGCGTCTCCATCAATGCAGCGTTTGTTGCCGCTGTTTCCTTCACACCGTAGTGAGGCAAGTTGTTAGAGTACACATCAAGCGCATGTTGCCAGTCACTGACCGAAATGTACGCGTTCCAGAGACGCGTGTCCCGCATGTGTTTCTCGGCGTTTTTGGTGCGACTGGGATCCGTGATGATGTCAACAACACCCTGCACCTCCGCCAGGGATGCACCCATACGATGCATCGCTCGCAGCATCTCCCCCCACGCAATGGAAGGAAGATACATCCGCTTAGATCCATGTGGTTGAAAGCGCTGTGTGAGCTCAAGAACACTCTGCCATGTCGCATTACCACTTGGCTGAAGGACACTAAACAACGGGGCGGCAGCAACAGGCAACAGAATAAATGTGGATGAACTTGCCAGCCCGGCAACGGTGTTGAATGACGGGCCGGAGCCAATTGCCCGAGTCCCTGCCTGATGGTGACATCGGATAGTCTCGCAGAGGACTGCAACCAGAGCCGAGGTGGCAGCTTCAATCCCCGTCATACGACCATCTTCTTCTACTCGTCGTCGTTGCTCCTTTAAAGACGGCAGGAAGTAATCGTGGTATAGTTGAAACGCCAGTTCCCAACTCTGCATGGCGGCGGACTGAAGAAGCACTGCCATCAGTCGCTGCCTCATGCCAAAATCCTCCCCGCACACAGATTTTAAGCAAGATTCCATGCGATTCGAAAAGGCATTTAGTCGCACCTTCGACCACCGCTCATGTTCCTCTGCGTGGAGGAGCCGCAGCAGCCGTTGGACGCTCTCGAGGCGTGTGGGCGCGTTGCGTTGGAGGGCCTCTGGCGAAAACGCGGGTGGTGTCATCGCCCCCCGCAGAATACAATGGAGGTTGCGGTCCATCGACATGCAAACACGCTCCAACGCAGGATTTCCCTCACGCCATGAGCCAAATGCAACCCCATCAGCCGCCGCCCCGCCCGGCAGCACATCGTTATGTGATCCCACGACGACGGATGGGCGGGCGGCATTCACAACGGCCATTAACGACTGCTCTTCAACAGCGCCTTCTTTCAAAATTTGCTCGTGTGTCATTCTGGCGCTCTGTGCCTCAACAAAGGCATTGATGTATTGAGCCTTATTGTAGGGGTTCGTGCCCTCTGCAGCCTTTTTGGCCTGCGCCCTGGCAACACGCCTGCGCTCCACGTGTTTCATTGTTCGCAAGACACTCCCAACGTTCGTATCGTCAAGAACGCGCCCCAACAGAAATCCTCTTCGTTGCAGCATTTATCCACCACCACTCCGTTCTTCCCTCTCTGGTGGAATGCTTACTCCGGCGTGCAGGCAAAAAAAAAAAAAAAAAAAGGGATGCAGACGGTTTGCAGGGCATAAAGGCAGCAATCACAAAAGAGGGAAAAAAAGGAAAAAAAAAAACAGCAACACGTGTGAGATGACATATTCCCAATTGGCGCACATGCACTTAAGAAAAAAAAAAAAAAGGAAAAAAGAAAAAGAAAGAAATAACACACGCAAAAGGAAGAAAAAAAAAAAAAAGGAAATCAAAAGTGAATAATAACAATAATAATAAAAAGGATACAGTCGGTGCGTGAATTATCTTTCTTTGCTCGTTTGTTTCCCTGAACGTAAGCCAATCCAACATAACCCCGAAATAATAAAAAAAAACTCACAAGAGAAACACAATAAAATAGAAAGCACGCACCGTTTGTCTTTTATTTGTTTGTTTTTCCGTTTCCTGCATTCTTCGTTGATTTATTTTCACCTTATTTTCTTCTCGTCTCTCCCCA